GTTGAAAAAACTGAGTTGAACCTATGCAGTTTTTTGGTTGAAAGGACTTTTTGTTAAAGTTCTTTAAAGCTTGTCCAACCTAGCAACAGTAGGTGAGTGTGGATAGGCCAATTAATCAGTAAATGCAAAGCTCATATCGTCGCTGTGCAAAGAAAAACAAGTATCTCCAAAATAGTGACTTTACAGGAGAAGGCAAAAACACCCTTACCTTTAATGCAAGTTAATGTAAAGAGATTTTATTCCAAGTGACGTTAGAGCATTTCTATTGGTCCATTCATCCTGAAATCTTCACAGAACGTAAAGGACAGCTGGTGTGTTGAAATGATGTAGACAATTGAAAAAATGGAGATACATGGATACATGGACAGCGATGATATATATGTAATATTATATGTGTATTAAAGTATAATGAGAGGTCAAAGGCCAGAGGTGAAGGAATTTATTGTTGTGAAATGTACTGTGTTATACGTTCTGTAGTGTGTGTATGTGCTGAAGTTGTATTTTAGCCTGCCTGCCTTTTGTGTTTCTCCCTATATGGTCATGTTTGTCACACCTGTTACTTGTCTTGTATAAGCTGGGTCTAATCTTGGCATCAGTCCAGCTATAAAACTGTGTCAGTCCAATGTCTTACAGGCTGGCTGGGTGTCTGGAACCTGCGAGCGCAACAAATAAACTTCACTTGTCCAGACAACAGACCTAGTTCCCTGGTTTGGAGAGGGTTTGGATTCTTCAGAGCTTACTGACCAAACAATCAATCAAAAAAATTCAAACAGAAGTGATGGTTGATGTGCTATACCTGTGTTTGGTTGTTGAGATAATGTACAATGTTCTCTCCAAATGCACTCCAATTTATTTGACTTGTCAACCTTGTTTGCTGTAGTATGCTTGGTTGGTGCGCTCTGTCCTTAAGAGATAATTCAAGACCAGATATGTTTGATATGACCCATAGCTCTGAAAAAGCAGTTAAAAATGTTATTCTACATTAACAGTCTACTGCATTACTTGAAACAGAATCAATGACAAAAGCCAACAGTAAGTTTACTTAAGCTGGATGGGTCACAAGTACAGAGAACCTGTACTGAGAATTTCTCATAACAATGAGATTCTTCCCAACAGAATTGGAGTTTAGTGGTGACAGGAATAAATGAGCTCTGCTCAGTTTATAAAAGTGTTTATGGACTTCTTTCAGGTGTTTACAGGGCAGTTAACATGGCCCATGGGCTTTTAAAGACTTTCTTATCCTTGGCTTAAGGACATGACATTGGGCAGTAATCATGTAAACAAATTCTCAATTCAGAGAGAACCACATAAATGTATAGTAATGAACCTACAGTCATGTGCAAAAGTTTGGGTGCAGAAATTATGTTATGTTAATTTTTCTAAGTGAAAGTAAGTTAACTCTACCTCTACAGAGGATGTGCACTTCTGCACAATGTAATGCACAATTACTGTCTATTTGCTTAACATTTTGTGGAAAAAATAAAACATAAAATGTGGCAAAAGTGTGCAAAGTTATGGCACATTTAATATTTTATGTTTTTTGTCAGTATATTAAATTTAATATTTAAGTTTATTCCCTGTAGACAATATGTTCACTAATTTTCATTTAGAAAATCAACACAGTATGCAATTTGACTGGGGGTGTTAAAACTTTCATACATGACCGTATATACAGGTTTTGCAAAGGTTTTAAGCAGAAAATTGTATTTGAAAAGCTATTTAACTGAGCAGTACACATTTATTTGCAAAGAAAACAATACTGCTACAATAAACACAAATAATATTAATATAATAAGTAGTGATTTTATGTATGTCAATGTTTTGCATAACCATTTCCAAACTTCTCCTCAAGGCAGACCAGTATTAATTGTAGTTATCATCCAATATCTGGTTTGGCTAATAAATCATTGACTAAGTTAAATCTGGTTTGCTGGTGATGAATTTAAAGAAATCTGTGTGATGGCTGGGGAATCAAAGAGAAATCCGGAACCAAACCTTTGTTCTTCTAGCTTTTTGTCCTTTAGCTTTTATTGAAAACATAATATTCTTATTATGTTTTACTGTGCTTATTTGTATTTATTCTTTGTTGTATAGTAAGAGTTTGTACAGGCGAAACATTCTGATTTCTGAGATAAATGGTTTTAAACAATTTGTTCAGGTGTCTAAGACTTTTGCAGAGTACAGGATTTTCAGGATAGTTACAAAATCTTTTAAATAAAAGTCTTTTTCTGCAGTATGTGATTTTTTTACATCACTAATTAAACTTCACGTTCTGTCTCTAACAAGAAGGACTCATGGTGTGAGTCAGTGTGCGTATTGTATCTAGTGCTTAGCATGCACAGTGTACTCCCCCTCCACACATACCCCCCTATCCCAAACGTTGTTTCTCACACACTAACAGCTCCACCCAAGTGCGCTTTCCCCACTTTCCCACCCTTCAGCTCAGCATGGCTGTCAATCAAGCCAGAGCACTGATCCAGACAGGCAATCAGTCATCAGCCATGAAAAGAGCCCTCTCTCTTCCCTCCTTAGCCTCTTTTAACGCTCTTTGCCTCCTTTATCTCTCCTGTCCCCTCTCTTTCTGAATGGGCGTGACGGTCTTAATCTCCCACACTCCTCCTCTCAGTTCCCGCCGCTGTCTCACTCGCTCTCCGCCATTGGCTGCCTTAATCACCAGCAGTGCAGACAGTGCTGGCTTTTTTTTTTCACAACATCAAGCCCCCCCTCAAAAACCACCCCCCCACCAAGGCCCCAGCTCAGTGTCCTCAGGGTCAGGCCTCCCCTCAGCCTGGGGCCCTTTCAGCCTTGGCAAAAGGATCATGTCATGAAAGGGGCTTGATTTAGTTTTAACAGGGTGCTGTGTCCGGCCTTTAAGTGGCAAATGAATAAACATAAGACGAGAGAGGCCTGCGGGTTGGGGAGCGGAGGGGAAGGCCCTGAATACGCAGGAGGTGGGTGAGCGAGCTGTTGGAGCGTAAGAAAAATGGGGAGCACTCCTTCTCTCCCTCTTCTTCTCCACAGTAGCCCAGAAGCAGTTAATTAGAGCGCTTTCTCTACTCACATGGCTGCTGAGATCAGAGTGTTTTACACCCAGGCCCCCTGTAGAGACAGATTACTGCCCGCTTTCCTCATCATTCGCAGGAAGAAAAATATTTTTGATGGCTGGGCTTGTAAGTGAGATTGTAAGGTTGCAGCTTTCTAACATGAGAACTACATAAACCTTTTAGAAAACATATTTAACATTTTATTCTGTTCTATTCTATTCTATGTTCTCTCTGTTTTATTCTGTGGTCTTTGTGATTTGACAAGATTAATTAGTTGTTTTCTTATGATAAATGTGCTATATCTGCTATATCTGAAACAAAGCATCAATTTACTAACAAAGTACACAGTTCCCTCAACTGAATCACCTGCTGGACGATATAATTTAACCCCTGACCCTTAGCGACCTTTGGGCTGTCTCATTAACGTATACAATCAAAGGGACATGTGGCATGGTCATCTTCGACATCATTCTGCTGACCTACACGTGCAAAGGTCATGAACTTTCATCCCACTATGTGTCCGAAAGGGCACTGACATGGACATAAATGCATAACATATCAGTCTAACCACAACACACCAAAGCACCAGACCAGAGAAGAGCACTGTGATAGTATACCTTTACAATGATATAGAAACGTCTGATAAATTACATGTTTGTGACCTTTGCAAAAGCTATGGCACAATTTGTATTTTGTTATATTTTTTCCAGTTTGTTCAATTGATGTAAAAAAAAAATAGAAAATGTACAGAAAAAATGCCATGTAGGGGATGTGTAAGTTGTTTTTCCTCAGAAAATCAAAAATATATACTTTGTCCAGGGATGTTCAAACCTTTGCATAAGAATGTATCTTTGTATTCAAAAAAAGGACGAAACATTGTACAACAAAATGTGTACATATACAAAAGTTAATAAATTTAATCTATACGCAGTTTAAAATTTTAATAATATTGATTTCTTTCTAGATTGACAAAAATTGCCATACTATTTTGATTTGATCTCAGACTACACTTAACCCTTTACTCCTTGGACAGCCCCATTATACATCCTGTATGCCTTTCCAGAAATTGTTTTGGAAATGTTACAAAAAATATACATTTTATTCTTAGTCACAGTTGGGAGCATAGGGAAACTACAAGGTCAGAATTAGTTAATCAATTAGAACCAATCACATGAGAAATAAAACAAAAATCAAAATAATTCAACTGTAAACAGTGATACATAAAAAAGTAATAAAATTAAAAATGAATAAATCTGAGGATTGATATAATTATGGTAATGCTTTGGCGCTGTCCAAAAAACAAACCTATTCTTCAAAATATTAACTATACAGGAGAAGGCAAATTGTCTTTAACTGATAAATGTTTTCCTTGGACTCCCACGATATGTTTCATGTATTCACTGTTGGGTCATCACCTTCTACAATGTCCAAACCTTCAAGCTGTATGGAGATAAACAATCAATAGGATTATCAGCAATAACTGTGAGCCACTGTATTTTCCCACTGGTCACAGATATGACAGTTTATGTTTGTGTCTCCTATAAGCATGACATATATGTGGCAGCACAAACTTATTAAACTATCAAGGACAGACCCTTTAAAGATTACATGTACCAAATATGGTGGTAGTAGTGGCACTGTAAAGTGTTTTTCTGAATTCCTTTTGTAGAGCTGTAATGCAGACGTCATCTTTCTCAGGTGTACGCTTGAAGCTCAGGTGAATGCTGAGACTTCACCTTTCACTTGAAAACACATTCAATATTTTAGAACTTTACAAACTCAAAACAATTTTGGCCTCAATTTTGACTGCTGGGATTGAAAGGGTTAAGAGGGAGGAACACAAATAATTTGGTGCTCCAGAGCTGTGGCACACTTCTATTTAATTTACCTAAGGAGCCACCACATAAATGTACGATAAAAATCACCAACTGGCAAAACTGAATTAATCACACAATGTTGAATTTACCACATTTTTATTTACAAAAACGTGTGAGAGTGAAAACAGAAATTAATATTTACGCTGTATAAAATTCAGATGAAATCCCTTACAAAGTAAGAAATGTTCCTAGAACGTCTGTGTTACGGAAATGGATTCTGAATCTACATGAAAAGTTCAAAAATGCAATTCTAAAACTTGAACCTGGAATTTTAGTAACAGAGATGAGAATCTATGGATTTAAAAACATTATTATGCAAGTTAGGTTTGACGTGCATAAAAAGGGTATAGATCTAATTTCAAATAAAGAAAGAAAATTACAGTCGTATTTTGTACTGTTTAACTGACACCCATTTTTATCAATTTAACTTTATAATTCAAATTCATTTATTTCCTTTATTTAGCCTAGATTTTATTATGTATTGTTAATGCTGTATATCTATATCTATGTCTATATATCTACATTTATATTAGATAGATTAGTTACTAACTGACAGTGAATTATATAATCAGCAAAAGCACATGGCAAACCTGAACACACAAAATAAATACACTGAAACAGTCAGAGGCAGTATTTTAACTGAGAAAAAGCCCCTTTCCATCCTTGCAAGTATTGCTGGGTAAAAGCTAAAAGCTTTATTAGCAAGAAATACTGCAAAAAAGGCAAACTCTTCCAAAAAAGGCTGTGATCCACCTCTGTTTGCACATGAAAAGCAATTTAAAAATGCTCCTCTGATACGGTAGAACTTCAGCGTCTGACAGGGATATCAGGGAAAAATGCTCAACTAATGCTACACAGTACTTTGGAATATTTTCATAAATATTTGAAAAAAAAAACTGAACGCACAGCTCTAAGCTACAGACTACTTTAAACACCTACTGAATGTTGTCGTGTATCGTTTAGTCCATGCTCTTAATAATATAGTGATAACGTTAAGGGAACCCCAATCCGTTGAGAAAAAGTTCATCTCGGAGACCACAGACATGGTGAAGAGAACTGTTTGTTTTGGGGAAACAGTCGATGAGACCTTGCTGTGCTTTTGTTGGCAGGGAAGAGCGCATGGTCACAGAGTTGCGGAGTGAAGGCTGGAAGCACACTTCTTTTCCAGGGTTAGTGCTGCTCCACAGTGAAGCGTGTCTCAGTTCTGTGAATGGCACAGAAAACGTAGGTCACCTTACAGAGTTCTTTCAAGGAATAGTGGTGACTGTGTGCCACCTTGTGGCCCAAAGCAGAAACATACCAGGATAAACAGACAAGCTGCCTTTGACCAGCACTGTCATTGAAGCTTTCAAGGGACCACATCCTATATTTTACTTAATTTTTCATTATTTTAATGATATATGGTCTACTCTTCGCATTTGCATGGTTTTAAGTACCAGAAACTATGATTCATTTTTACATGACAATATTCCAACCTCTATCTTTGTCCCTTTAACAAACTGTTTTAACTGTTCTGATTGGTTCTGATTAGTTTCCATACATGGATGATGTGGACTGGGAAGAGACTGGTACCTTTAATAAAACTTTAATAATGTTTACACCTTCAAAAAAAAGGAAAGAAAAGGCACTTTTAAAGCCACTTTCAAGAGTTTTTTCTTGTATGTGTAGTGCAGGCCACATTTTATTTTTTTATTTTTATTTTTTTCCAGTATGTTAAATTCAGAAAATAAACAGTGGTTGTGCTTAAAAGAAGTGTGTTCTCTGTAGAGGACGTGTTAACTGACTTTCACTTAGAAAATCAACAAAACATGTAAACTGACCAGGCGTGCCCAAACTTTTTTATATGACTGTATTCTTTTCCAATCTCATCTTGTTTCAAATGCATACATGGCATTTTGGAATAAAACTTCTGCATGTATACATCCATATTTGCTCTATCATAAATATCACTGCTATAATTTTAAAACTTACACCTCTGCGTGTTTGTTGGCCACTGTGTGATTGTTGTACTGTAAAACTGGATCAGCAGAGTCCTCTTCTTCAGGCACCTGAACGTAAAATAAAGATGAGTTGATTCCAAAAGTCACATTCAGGCAGCATAAGGACACACCCACATGAAACCTAAAATGCGACTTTTAGTCGCCTTGTCCCTCAGTTCCCTCATCCACGTGTTTCAGTGATCCGCGGAGAAGAGCTGGGACATTACGAAAGTAATTTCTAGCAATGATGACACACACATAGAGACACCTAGTGAGGGTCATGCAGGCACTTACCACACTGAGCTAGTTTAACCTTCACTATGTGTGGAAAGGTGAAATATCATTTATATTTACTAGTAATTAGTCATGGAAATAAAATCACAACCTCATTGTTTCCAGAACTTCTTATGCTATACTACTTTTGGTGGTTGAATGAAGCCCAATCTTACCTCCCAGTAGACTTCATCATCAAAGCAGTTATCATCTGTGGGATCTCCCCAAAGAGGCATCCTCAGAATTAGACCTGTAGAGTAAAGAAACATATTTTAATATTATAACAGATTCCATTATATTCCATTTTTATGAGAGGTTATACCTGTTCAGGTGTGTCTGTGTATGTTCACAACTTCAGAAAATCCCATGACTACCAAATAAATGCAAGCTTATGGCTAGATTTAAGGCAAGACACTACACTCTGTAAAAAATGAAAGTCAGTTCAATTAAGAAAAGAAAAAAAAATCTTAGTGCACAGCTGTTCTTGAATTAACACAACTTGAGGACAGTATAGTTCACCCTATTAAAACTTAGTTTAGTCAAAAGTTCTTCTTTTTCAGTTCTGCATCTCAATTTTGTAATGTTCTACAACACAACAAAATTGTTTTTTTTACTCAGTTTTCTCTAATCTCACCAGGCATTTCCTCTGTTTTGGCTCATGGATGGCTCAAACTGTGGCATTGCTGGCATTCAAACTCACATTGTCTTAAAGTTGGGGTTAATGCTTAGCCTGTTACGGTAATAGGAAGCTTGAAGTTTCTCAGATTTCTGTATTTAAAAAAAAATGTTTAAAAGGCAACTCACAGCAGTGCACACACACTATATTTTAGTGAGTTTTTCTTCTGAATCAGTAAAGCCACTTCTTTCAGTTTTAACAACAAAAAACTTTCATAGTGCAGCTTTAACTTTACAAAATAATCTGTAGTAACATGTGGTACAAACATTGTTCACCCAACATCAGGATAGCCTAAATTTTAAGCCTAGAGATGGCATTTTAACTCACATTCCCCTGCCTAGTCTGTTACATTGCTCCAGAGCCTCTGAAGTTTCTCAGATTTCAGAGTGCAAAAATGTTTTAAAGCTACACTGTATAAGATTTGGGAGCACAACATCCTAACATCAGTTGTGCTTAGGATCCCTTCCCTGAGCGGATGAGGATGATGAATGTGAGCATGTTAAAAAGACATTTAAAGAGAACTCAGGCAAAACTTGTGATTGAATAATCTACTATTGTATCATATGTTTATCAGTATTATGCTTTAACATGAATGATAAAAACTTTATTGTATACTTGGCCCAACGCTGTCAACGTCATACGCCGCTGAAAAACTTGTTTCCTGTAGAATCAAATGTGTCCTTTATAATTTCTTTTGTAATAATACCAGCATTCACACAAACAGTAAATGTTATCTGAGATCTCACAGGGTAATGCTGTTCTGAGGGCCCTTTCTTAAAACAGTTTTTTTCTCAAACTATGCTTTTCTTCACATTCAGAACCAAAAATCCCAGTTAATAGAATACTTGAATTTTACATGATTTATCAACTGGAAAAGTTTATATTAAAATGACCTGTTCACCAGGATTGTTTCAGCTTCTCAAACTTCGCAAACACACACTTTTCTGTAATAAACATTCTACCAGACAAACCACTACAGGTTATTCAAGTATTTCTGTCAAATACAATGAACAACGGCACATAATAACTAGTTTTATGTGCCACTGAAAGTAGCACTGGTGGTGCAGTAAGTTGCTCTTTTGTATGTCTAACTCTGGTGCACGCTACACTTTGACATACCCACAAGTATTCCACCGCCTATTCCAAAGCACACAGCAACGCACATTCCAGCAGCCTGGTAGCCACCTTGGAGAGCAGGAGTCCTGTGCTTTAAGTCATCTGAGAAACCGAATGTGTCTATCAACCTGTAATAAGTAAAGAAAAACACAGTTGAAAAAGAAGCACTCACTATGCTGCAATAAAAAACAAGCCTACAAGTTGAAATCACTCCTAAAAAAGAAAGGAGAAGACACTTCATGGTGTTTCCATGTAGCTGTATACTTATTTGTTATGTGTCCACAGCAAATCAGACATTGTAAAGTTTTTTTGCCTTATGTATAAATATGTAATATCAATTTTTGTATTTTACTTTGTATCAGGTGAACTGAGCTTACCCTTTTTGGCCATAAACAGATTCAGTAGCACCAGCAGCTGATATTGCTCCCACAATCCCCCCAATTACACCAGGCATAGCGTGCAGGTTATGAACGCCACATGTGTCCTGGATCTTTAGCTTGCTTTCCATGAAGGGCTGGGAGAAAGAAGATTTCCATTTTATACTGTCTGTCCTTATGGCCAGTATTGCTGTACAAAAGCCATGAATGGACAAAGTTTACAGAATGGTTTAATTTTATTACATTATTCCACAGCAACAAAATGCATACAGATATACGGTTATTTCAGTATAATCAAGCATTATAAATGTATTTTTTCTCACTCACAACAATTTAACTTACACTACTGTTCAAAGGTTTAGAATCACCATTCAAAACTTTCATTAATATAAACCATTTTTTGCAGGTGTAAAAGTTGATTGTTGTAATGCTGCTACTTTACAACATAGCAAGTTACAACTAATTTGTAGGAAATGGTGAAAACTAAAGATATTTTATATGTGTCCAGAATGTTGAGCAGGGCTGTAGATGAAATTAACATCTAGAGTTCCTCATATTTCAAAACTGGCAATCAAGTTCCAAGAGTATAATTAATCAAGAATCCACTACAAATAGATCACTACAGTATAGTATTAACGCATTAAGCCTCAAGTAGTTTATTCCTATTTTAAATGGCAGCCAACATTAACTATGATTGAAATACACAATTTTAAGGAAATTATTTAAGTTATTAATAATAATAATCAACATAAACATGTATTCCGCCAAGAAATATAGTTCCTTTAGCATGTAGTATCGTTGCCAAGCAACCACAGACTGCTAAATGCAGAGAAGAAGGTTCAGTTGCTCATAACTGTATTAATTAACGTAATAACTTAGCTTTATTTAATGCAAAAACCTTCACTTTATAAGTAATTTTGGTGACCAAATTATCACCGCGACTCTTATATACCAATCCAGCACCGCCCCTCTTCTCATGCTGGGGCTGTACCTCAAATGACTTACACTTTGTGCACTATGTAGAAATTTAAATACTGGCTCCTGCACCCTAACAGTACATAATACAGCTAATAAAGAATCTTTTGTCATTCGAGATTTAGCCACATTCATACTTGACAAATAGTGCACTATTTGGCTGTAAAGCCAGAACTTCAAAGCCTCTATAGCGAGCATACTATTTAGGGAGTACATAAGTCGCTTGGAATTCAGCCTGAGTTTTACTCTAAATCTGATGAAAACACAGACATTTGACGCATGTAAGGTGTTCAAGCGACATTCTTAAGATTTTTATACAGTTAATCATACTGTGCATATCTTAATTTAACCTGTGATATTAATGATGACATTGTTCAGCCTGTTAAGTGTCTTTTAGCAATGCAAGCAGCATGAGAGTCAAATATGAATCCATTAACAGAACAAAGGTTTTTCGTTTTTTTAATACAGAGTTCAGTTGTTGTGAGGCGGTCATAGGTGTGCGTACATCATGGATTTTACAATGGCTTCAAACACAGCTCGGCCAATCAGATTTGAAGACTGGAACTATCTGTTTTGTAATTATCATTTCACAACTGCTCGATGTCCCCCAAAAGCACATCAAATATTGGTGTCTAGCTTATAGTATTTCAATTCACATTGTGTATGTTATTATTGAATAAAATAACAGTAATTATTAATATGGCAAGTGATTCCAAACTTTTGAATGCTTGTGTACATATTAGCATCATAGCAGTTACTGAAAAACACATCTTAAGATTAATAACTGAATTATATGTTTAGGGTTTAATTGTTCATAATGCAAACAGAAGCTCCTACTGTGAGGTATATGTAGCCAAGAGTCGAGATGAGCCCACAGAAGAATCCTACTATCAGAGACCCATATGGCATCAGCATGAACTCAGCAGCTGTTCCTACAGCGACGCCCCCTGCCAGGGTGGAATTCTGGATGTGTACCTGGAACAAAACATCATTTTATTATCTAGGCAATCATAGACCACTGCTGATTGCATGACATTAGAGTTTGGGAAACTAAACTGAAATTGAAATTTTACTTGTGACTAAATTTAATGTAACTAGTCTTCACTTGAAAAATCTTGGAAGGCAAAGACTAGTATATGCTCTATCCACTTTATATGATCTTTTCAAACTGAGCAGTACAAATCCCCTCGGCACACTTGGAGTAGAAAGCAACCAGAGATGCTATCTTATCCACAAAGGATAAAGTACCTAATTAAAACTCTGGTTTATAACCATTATTGTCACTGTTAGTAGTATTGAAAGACAAGATGGCCCAGTACCATGTCCAGTTTTCCGTGCTTCTGAAAGAGGCTGGAGATGGCGAAGGCGGTGAGGACAGTGGCAGCAAGTGACAGGTAGGTGTTAATGGCTGCTCTGTGCTGACCATCTCCATGGTTACAAATGGCAGAATTAAAACTGGGCCAGAACATCCAAAGAAACAGAGTTCCTATGAAAAAGAGTTCAAACGTAACATTAACTGTAATGTTAACGCACATTCTCTGCGCATCAATTATTCTAAAGGCATGGAAACATATAAACATTTGTGAGATTTGTGATAATCCTGTCTGGAGCACACAAGTAATTAACTAGCAGTTGACAGCTATAAGAGCGATGAAGGAAACTTACCAATCATTGCAAACATGTCAGAGTGGTACACTGACCCATTCAGCCGACTGCTCTCCTTCAAGTTTGGCCGATAGAGGACCCATGAGATGGCCAGACCAAAGTAAGCCCCAAAGGTGTGGATCACCATAGATCCTCCAGCATCTTTGGCCTATCAGATAAAGTTACCTCTTCATAGGAGCCAATTAAATGCAGTCAGTAACCACTAGGGGTGGGAATCTCTAGGCACCTCACGATTCGATTCGATTACGATTCAGAGGGCTGCGATACAATTATAAAACGATTATCGATGCATCTTGATGCATCTTTTTTTCTATACAGGATTTCTATTTTCTCACTGTCTGAGGACTTGGTACTTTTAAAGCAAATTATTTATAATGATCCATAATGCATTTACTTCCAATATATTTTATTAATAAATCAAATGGAAGTGATGTGGTAAGTGAACTAGAAGGCTCTCATTGACTGCTATTGTTTGGAGCACATGAGACGCTGCTGCCACTCATCTGCGATAAAATGCGCTGTTAGGGTGACTTAAGATCCTGTGGTAATGGAGGTCCAGGCAGCACGTTATAGCCGTCCTGCTCGTTTTCTTTAGTGATTTTATAACTTTGGTTTTGTTCTCGTTGTAGAGACGAGAGGGGGGGTCCGCTGTGTCAGTAAAATATCTTCAAAACCGGACGTGTGCAGCATAGCACGAAAGCCCTGGTTCGCAACGACTGAGAACCGGCTGCAGGTCACACAGCAACGATGCGTTATTCGCGTTTATAAGCAGCGCAGCTGATTCCTGGCAAGTTAAATCTGCAACTAGAGACTGTCACACAATAAAACGTTGCGAAGGTGAAGTCAGCTTCTCTTTCGAATTTCCCCGTTCCACCTTAAATGGTGCCGCATTTACATTCGGCGCCTCCGTCAGATTTTAAGGTGGAACGGGAAAATTCAAACAAGAAGCTGGAGAATGAGAAGCGACTTCAGCCTCGTAAAACAGTTGAACATTGAAAGACATTTTACAAGAAACTGATCAACTTCTGAAGAAATTTTTTCTGGCGGAAATTGGAGGAAAGCGGCTAAAGCTAAGGCTTAAAGCAGAACAGAGTAAGTCTGCGTTTTCGTTTATATTGTTTAACTTAACTTACACTAGGACCTTCGCACATACTGAGACATATTGGACATAAATGTTGTGGCCGCCAAGGTCGTCTGATTTTTGTTGAAAGAACAAAATGGCTCCTCTTAACATTTGGGTTGTGACTCCTGACCTAACCTGGTTTTTAACGCAGAGGGAGCTGGTCGGATTTCTCGCTCATCCATGTGTATTTTTGTTATGTGCCGCTGCAGAGTGTCCGGGCGCTGCACTTCCGCACTTTCAAGTTTCGCTTTTTGCGTTCCGTCAACATTACGTTATAAATTAAATATTTAGAAAATCGATTTTTGACATTTATGAATCGATTCAGAATCGTTCACGTCCGCATCGCGATGCATCTAAGAATCGATTTTTTTTCCCGCACCCCTAGTAACCACCTACTAGGCTTTTGTGACTCACAGATGAGAATCTATATTTTACCAGTGGATTGTTACAAGTAAGTCTAAAATATAAGTGAGCATTATTAAAACTCATTGTCACTATTAATACCTATACTTTTTCTCATACTATAACTACTATTACTACAATAACTACTACAACGACAGTGACACTTCACTTTAAGTGGTCATTTTTAGATGAAATAAACAGTCAACAGACTTGCAGTAACAATTCAACAACATATCGATGATGTAGCAGCAGTGAAGACATTCAGCAGATTATCAGGAGGCTTTTAAATAACTGTGTTAATAAAATTTGTTTATAATCTACTGAATTCAGTTGACTTTATTTGGAGGGTCCAACTTCATATCTGTAGATGTTAAACTGAGAGGTCACTGAAAATGTAATAGGTTTAAAACAGACCATCTCAACATCCTCAACAAGCTGTTATAGACCTGCTGCTGACACCATTCTGTAACTTGAGCTTAACTGGATTAGGTATAGGTTAAGGTTATGATTAGGGCCAGGGTTAGGGTAAGCTTCTGGGGAAGGTTGGGTAAGGTTAGGTTTTGAGTAATGGAAGTAACATATTAAGTTTACTTCAAGTAAAATATCAACAATAAGGTTACTTACTTAATGTAAGCAATGAATTAACATTACATCTTCAAGGTATTATACATATTATACTGCTTCACTACTGCTACTTTACTTATATGTAGTTGATGTGTTACAGATACACTGTTAAGAGTTTTTAAATCATCTTCAGAAAAAGTGTTACCACAACTACTGATAATAGGGTTAGACAGAAAATTTGCACTGACCACTTGAGCAACTAAGCCAATTAATCTTGCAGCCAAAATTAAGAATTTGTACATACATCATGAACCAGTGAAAAATAAACATTATGTTGATTTAAAAAATGAAATATTTATTTAAAATGTTACATTCATATGAACAGTTTCCCTTCAGGATAAATAAAGTTCCATCCATCCATCCATCCATCCATCCATCCATCCATCATCCATCCATCCATCCATCCATTGCTGTTGTAGTGACTGTTGTGGTCCCTCTGCCAAACAGGGTCCATCTGATCTAGGTTATTTCACACCTTAACACCTCATTTTATCTAAGAGCTTATTTTATAGAATTATATTAGCAAACTTCAGTCAATGGAACAGCAGGACACCAGGCAGACCAGCACAGCAAGAGGAACACCTCTTCATGGTCATCACATTAGCTATCAAAAGGCACCAGGCAATAGACAATGTCCCAGATTAATTATAATAATAGTTTTCATTTTCAGAAAATGTTAAATAATAATAATACAAGTAGACTCACATGAATGAGGTTGAGTATAATGTATTCTTCTACAGCGAACAAGGTAACACCAAACAGGGTCATCACCATCAGCTGAACAGGACTGACTTTCCCCAGCAACGCTCCAAATGCAATCAGACAGCTTGCTACACAGAAGTCTGCATTGATTATGCTAAACATAGAGAAAAGGAAAAAAGCACCATATAAATTACAATTCAGAAGATTATTTGAATGTTTTTTTGCATTGTCTGCTTTGTTTTATTTGTTTACAACTGAACTCATTGTAAGTAGTTATGCAAGTACTGTACAAAGTAATAAATATCTTCTATGAACTCAATTTAATCTAACTCTTTACTGGCTTAAGTGAAATTCAACCTGCTTTAAAAACAGTTACAACAAAGACAGCTGCATTTTCAGAAAGTCTGTGACTCAGCTGAGCTATGCTGGAGTATTTAATGCATATATAATATTTGGGGATATTAACTAATTTATACTGTATAGTCCTGATATAGTTACAGTCTTACAGTACATTAACTAATATTCCAAAACATCATTTTTTGTAGCAGCTTCTCACATCACTGTGTCAGTGATATGTGACAGGTGAATGCCACATGGAAATGAAAAACTGGCTGGCCCATAGATTAACACAGAGCAGCAGTCAAAGTGCAAATGCAATCCATTAAAAATCAACTTGCCTAAACTATAATTACTGCAATATTGTATCAGCCTTAATTTAACCTTACATTGTAAATACCTTCCTAAAAATACTGCAGCTGCTTGAATGCACTTTTGCACAAATGTAACTAAAAACATTTTAAAAGGCTCTGTTCTCATTGATGTCCTTGTCAAATTCATAGACAGTGCTTTGAATGCAATGCTACACATTTAAAAAAAGACTAATACAGAGTATGAATACTAATGAGCCAATACAACATGTTACGAAGTTGTAATTGTTTTAAAGAAGGAGTGGGGATCTCTGGTCTATGAGGCCACGTCAGTGATAATCTTGCTCAAATACAACTGACTGAATTCATCAGTCAACTGCCTAGTTTAGTAGGTTTAGTAGAAAAAACAGGAAAACCATCAAACTGTGGATTCCAGCCAACCTGCCCTGCTATAAACTGATGTGGTAAAATTCCTTGAGTCAACTCCTTGTGGTTGTTTTTCAGAGTATACTAAGCTGAAGAGATCACAAATGATTAGGAACGATAAAAATGTGACAATAGCCTACTTTTCTACGCCGATTTTGATCATCCCATCAGTATCAATATGGTGGAACCAGCCTTGCATTAGCAGAGCCCACTGAATCCCAAAGGCTGCAACAAGGAAGTTGAACCCCACAGCACCAAAGCTGTAGCGCTTCATAAACGTCATGAGAAAACCAAAGCCCACAAAAATCATGACATGGACATCCTGAAAACCTAAAAGATGAGAGGAAAGATTGATGTATACAATCACATTTACATGATTTCACATCAAGACTGGAGAAGACAGATACAAAACTAGCCCCCCTCCCAACCTGCCTGCCTTGTATTGTGTCTTATTGAAAAGGCAGTCCAGGCTTCAACACTCCTTATAACTTCAACATGAATGGGCGGGGTTTAACTGCACTAGGCTGAATAGATGGATATAAATTTGTTTTTGGTTTTTGTGACAACACAAAAACAAATATCATTAAAAAAGAGGCTATTTTTTTCAACTAGGTTTCCAGAAATGGACTGTATGATCAACATTTACATACTACATCAATCTTTTGTATGTAAAAAAGGAAGGAGCGTTTTGGGCCCTTTAAGAAATATGAGGAGGATTTTGCATTCAAAACATTAAGAAGTCAGAGAAATCACATCGAAATCAATAATATTGGGATATTGAGATAGGGGTTTCCAGCTGTTGTTCTGGTGATGCATTTCATAGCTTCTTATGTTACAGCTGAAGCAGGTGCATGAAGCCACTGATCTAGGTAGCACTGTAAATTATGACTTATGTTTTTGCATCAACAGGCTTCATGAACCTTTAGCTACCCATTCTCCTGGAGGTTTAACTTTCTACTGTCTTTAATTCTAACCCAAACATAACACACCTACCTCTGATGTTCTCATGTTCTATCACCTTGTGACAGCCACTGCCATTCCAGTATTATCTTAGCTTAACCATTAGAGAGTTACGCAGACTTTTTTTTGCCGATCAGCTAAGTACACATTTAAATAACTAAACTGTGCTCCAGCTTTTCAAAAAATAATTGTAATTTTTAGATTAAATTAGTCGATATGCTGTATATGTCCAAAAGTTTGTAGACACCTGCTCATCTGATGTTTCTTCTGAAATCATGGGTATTAATAGTAACTTCATCTCACTTTGCTGCAGTAACAGTGTCTTCTCTTCTGGGAAGGATTTACACTAGATGTTGGAACATTGCTGTGAGGACCTTATTGCATGCAGCCACAAGAGCAGTTAGTGAGGTCAGCTACTGACGTTGGATGATCAATTCTGGATCACAAATGTTACACCAACTCATCCCAGAAGTATTCACTAGTGCTCCATTGCCCCAAAGAATGCAGTTCCACTGCTTCACAGCCCAATGATTGGGGCACTTTATACTACCTTAGCTGATGTTTGGCAGTGGGCATAGTGACCGTAGGCTCAAGTGCAGCTGCTTCAGAGCATCCCATTCTATTCTATGCTTTTCTATTGAAATTATACAAGCTGTACAACACCAGTGTCAGTACTGGGTGCATCTTAATGTAACTCAATTCACTAATTAGAAGGGGTACCTGGATACTTATAGGTGTATGAAAATCAGAACAATAAAACAATTCTAATGGGGTAACCTTTAAAAAACTGCCTCGGGGGCTTTTTTCAATACGCATTTCAGCACAGCCATGTGGGCTGTTTATATGTAGACAAAGACACGCTCGTGTGCTCCAGTTTGTTGATAGTTTAACAGAAACAATTGCTCCCATACAGGGGAAAACACGTAGTGCTACTAAATGCCACAGTGTTTGTGAATGCTACATTCTGATGCAAGCTACCCTGCACACATGTCACCAATCTGTGTTTACTAAACAGTTTGTGCAGTTCTCATTGCCCTTGGTGAGGGTGACTTTGTGACAAAGCTAATTCGAGAACATAAACTGATGTACGACCATAATCTGAGTGGTTCATCTTACACATTAACCCTTCTATTATCTTTGGGGGTCATTTGACTCCATTCAATGTTTAATGTCTCTAACTATATGACTGACTTTTTTTTGCTTCACATTTAATTTCTTTTCCTTATGTAATGGGGATAACTGGGTAAATATAAAATTAGATGATGATATGTTTTCAATGTCCTGTACTAATTTTCTACACATTGGTGTTCCTTGGGGTCACTTTGACCCCAAGCTGTTTTAGCTGTATAAAACATAAGAAATACCAACATTTTACACATATTTGCTTTGGTTGTTTTGGATGATATTGAGTTCGCTATAACATGCAATTTTACAATCTTGGTAAAACTTCCCTCTGCTTTAGGGCCTTAGCCTAACATAACCACACCTGTAACATAGCTAACCTAACATAACCACACCTGTAGTAGTGCGAAAATCACTGACAGTTCACATGACATGGAGAGGGGAAAACTCCCACCAGAACTTTAAAAGGTCCTGGAAGTTTAAATTGATGGGGTCAAACTGACCCCAAGGATAAAAGATGTTAGTAAATCTGAAGATAACAGGACGGTTAAAGTTCCAGATAAATGTGGCTGAAACAGCACCACTGTTTATGTTTAGTAACAGAGGGCTTGGTAAACACGTGTTTTTTTTTTTGCTTGGTTACAAAAATATGATTATATTATTAAAGATACATTTGATCTAAATGTGACGTGCAGATATGCACACTGAAAATCATTAAAAAACCGAAACAAATGATGAAAGTTGTGCAATAAAAGGGCACATTTCTATGAAAAAAATTTGATAGAACTGCTTTCTGTCCAGTGTTCCTTCTTTCAATACCAGATAGTATGACAGAATGTCTACCTCTCGATCTGATTACTCAGTGATAGTCAGACATGGACACCCATGAAAGGATTTTTCACAATGAATAAACTCAATGACACCCTTAGTAATTCTGTAACTAGAACTGACCCCACTCCACATCACACCATAAAGGATAAATTCAGAATAACATCTTTAACTAAACCTTACATAAAATCTTACACACTGGTTCATCTCAATGTGATTCATAATCATAGATGATTTTTAAAAAGAGATTTTGTGCATTGCAGAAAACATTATTAAAGAATGCGTTAATTCATGAATTAGCTCATTAAGGAATATGCTAATCAATCCTTTTGTAATTTGTAATTGTATAGCTGACACATGATCTCATTTTACAGTTAATGCCTTCAAACATAGACCATCCACCTCCGATTATAGAGGAATACATTCTGTGTAGATGGCCATTGTACAGCTTCTTCACTGTAACAATGAATGCACTGAAAGCTTTGAAAAGAAATCCTGTGAGTGTGCCCAGGAGAAAAGTGCAATGTCCAGACATCAAACACAATGTTATATAATCATCGAAGACAGAGGAGAAGGAGGAGGAGGAGAGAGAGAGAGAGAGAGAGAGAGAGAGAGAGAGAGAGAGAGAGAGAGAGAGAGAGAGATTTTAAAGGGGAATTCTACGTAATTAAATGGTTGAGATTTAAACAAAGCCATTCAGAGGGGTCTGATATGAAATGTGCTCCTGCAGAAAAACTTATCAGAATTGTTCACAGTGGTGGTGACAGGAAACAGACATCTAAGTACCTCTAAAAGCTTATAACCCAAAATGGTGATAAATATGTGGCCTGATGCCTGAGACATTTTCAGATGACTTTTAAAACATATACATGCTGGAGAGGTATATATATATATATATATATATATACATATATATATATACATACATATATATATATATATATATATATATATATATATATATATATATATATATATGTGGAGTGCCATAAGGAAAACCAGTACCTGAAGAAAACTTATTTTTAACTCTTAACCTTTAATTATATCATTGTAATTATATCATTGTCGACAATGAAATGATTATAACTGCACTGCAGACGTCACAACTCCTGGCTCCCTTCACCACCACTGTTTCTCCACCATGAGACATTTGACATCAAACCACTCTGAATGACTTTGTTTACATCTCAACCACTGAATTATTCTGAACTTTTCCCCTTTAATTGACTACAGCATGTAGCAACATAAAATGACAAAATTAAAGGGCAAGCCAGTTAAATGTGAAAGATTAAAAAAAAGAGAAAGGACACTAACATTTGTTTTGTTTTGTTTTTTACCCTAATCCTCACTTTGTTGGGTCTGTTGTGCATGATGATAAAAAAGAGATCACGTAGCAACATAACAGAAAAATAAAGAGCGCATGGCTCATTAATTTAAGTTATAAATAAATATTAAAGCGTGAAAAATAAATATATTCTAAGTGTAAGATGTAAGCTCTTTAACATCACATTACTGGACAACATTAAAGGACATCAGCAGCGCTAACAGTAAGTGTAATCTGTAGTAAATGGAGTCACTTACTCGGATACCTGAAGTAGAAATCATTCTCAATGTCACTCGTTATATTTTTCTCGATTTTGTATTCAGGCCAGTGAGCGTCCACCTCCGACTTGTAACGGACAAACGCGCCGAAGAGGATGACCATGGCCGTTTGCCACACGAAGCAGACGGCCGGCAGGGTCCACCTGACGTTGGTGTTTTTGGGCCCATCACAGTACGGCACGATGCAGTTCCCCATCTCAGCCCAGAGCAGAGAGAGCAGCGAGGTGAGAGGAGCTCCGGAGGGACCGGGCTTTAACCTGGGAGAGGATGCAGGAGGAGGAGGAGGAGGAGGAGGGGCCGTCCATCAGCAGTACACCTGAACCGTGAGAAACACGGGCTTACCTCAAAACCTTACCTAGTGACGGTGTAGCAGTGTTAGTGTTAGCAGAGATGATGTGATCAGGACAGTCGAAGGTTTCGAAATAGTTCAGTATAGAAACTAGAAATATGTCTTCAACGTGGCTCACAAACACGTGTTTACATTTACAGTATCAAATGGGTCAAATGGTCAGGTAGGGTCAAATTAAAACGAGAAAAAATAGTGTTAAGTAAGCATAGGCCAGGGGTCGGCAACACAAAGGTTAAGAAGAGCCATTTTGTCCTTTCAATAATAATCAAACCACCTTGGGAGCCACAGCATATTATGTCCATTTTACTGTCTTGGCTGTAAATATGTCTCAGTATGTGTTAATGTATATTTTTTAATGGCAAAATTATACACGAAAACGCAGACTTATTTTGCTCTGTTTCAAGCTGTAACGTTAGCTCAGCTATAGCAGCGTCTCTCGAATATATACTCTAATTTTCCCGTTCCACCTTAAATGGCGCGTGAGGCGCCAGAATGCAACTGCTGCGCCAGTTAAGGTGGAACGGGCAAATTGGAACAAGAATCTGACTTCAGCTCCGCGGCTTTTTAGTGTTTGAACGTATCAGGAAACCAGCTGAGTGCCTGTGAATGCAAATAAGTCAATTTGTGTTGCTATGGTGACCAGCAGTCTGTGCACTAATCTTCAGTGTTAAAGGTCAGTGAATTAGCTAGCAGTTAAACATTTACTCCAGCGTTTAAGACCTTTATTGTGCTGCAAATGAGGATTATTTTTATGTTTACTTAAAAAAAAAATAATTCTGCTGTAGAGCTGCAACAAGGCGGTAAAAGAGCCGACCCCTGGTGTAGGACAATGAGGGGTTTTCATCAAGTTAGGTAGCAATTAAGCTAGGTTAGCGAGCTAGCTCGGCAGAAACTGTCTTCAGCTGTGTGATTTATGATGCCCTAGCCTAGCTAGAGGAGTTATTGCTAGTTACTCACTATATGATATATTTACAGTCTTGTGACACTTTTTCCACTTTAACAAATGATAATTTACTGGGGCCCAGAAAGGGTCACGGCTACTGGATTTACATATCTCTAAAAAAAATAAAATCACTTTTGAACTGCCCTGTCTTAAAGCTCTATGGAAGGCCCAGATGAGATCACATTTCAGTTGTATGTCCTTTATTATACAGAATATATTTCTGACACCTAGGAGTATATGTTTCTTATATTCCTAAGAGCCAGGAAAAAAATGCGCTACGCTACTACTCACTATTCACGGGGCGTTTTAAACCAAATAGACAACTTCCATTCCTGTTTTACTGTCTTATAGTAATCTAATATACTAATCTAATTATACTTGTGTAATATCCTGTAGTATACTACATTTATTATTAGAGTTTTTATAGACATTCTGCAAAATTCCATAGTAGTACTATATTTTTCAAGGGAGGGTTGTTTAATAATATCTTAAGAGATATGAAACTGTAGGCCCATATCACACGAATAAGCATGTAATGTTTGTTTAACATATGACAAGGTTACCACTACACCACTGCATGACCTCTTTCAGTAGTTATGAATTTGTACTGTCACAAGAAGCACCACAAAGGGGACAGTATAAACATACAACTGCACTTCCTCCATCGATTTCAAGAAAACAGCAAATAACTGTTTTTACAATAACAGTGTAATGTTAAAGATTAGATATGATATATGAGAGTACACTGCACAAGTAGTACACCATGGGTGCTCATTTAGAGCAAATACATGACTCAGGTCTCTTCTGACTAACCTAATCTCAGTTACAGAGGCCATCACCTGGAATTAATAAGCATTTGTGGCCACAGCCTCAATTAAATGACTCCTTTAACAAAGAAAGAAAAGGAAGTGAGAAAGAAAAGGGCAGTCATAAGACAGAGCGTGTCTGAGAGAGGAACAGACATAAAAAGTAACTGTAAAAAATAACAAAGAAAAAAAGAGGAATGAACACTGTGAGCCACTTGTTGCTTATAGTTAATTCTACCCCAATGCACCTGCCTAACACACACACATTACTAACGCTCCTATGTAGAAGATCTCCTGTAAACTCCTAGAACTCCTGTGTAGAAGATCTGCCATGCTGATTGTACCTTTTTTGTAGATGCTAGTTGTGAAAGGCTCCAGTACCCAGTCTTAAAGCAATGTGTGTTTTTGTTTGTACAGCTTAGATGCACAAAATGAGAAAGTGAGAAGGTCAGAGATCTAAGGGTGCAGTCAGGTTTTACAAGGAAAATCTGTGCTGGAAGTGTGAGGCTTTAAGCCATTAAACTAGTACAGACCTCCCTTCCTCACTTTTAGAACTACATTCTTTACATACTAGTTTCATCGTAGTTACTTAAAGGGGCTGTAAACAAAGCCATTCAGGATGGTTTGATGTGAAATGATCGATTCTAGAAAAAATGTATAATTCAGCACAGTATTTTTTCAGAAGTGATGGTGATCGGAACCAGACGTCTGAAGAGTTTAATGCCTCTAAAAGCTTCCTTACACAAGGTAATCACAAAATTATTCTAGATATATTGCCTGATGACTAAGAGATTTAACGCTAATTTTGGGGTGAGATTTTGTCATAAATTGAGAGGCACATGCAGGGAATTGTAAGGCAAGATAGAACACTGAAATAAGGAACTGTGCAGATACATTTCTTGTTCATCAAGGTACAAACAATGTAAATGTACCCTCAAAGGTAAAACAGTGGTTTTAAGGTCCCATTCTGTATCTTAAATAAGTTTTTTTTTCCCAGTGGAAAAATATGTATTTATACCTTTTCATAACCTAATGTTTTACAACAGAACACTAAAATAAATAGCCTGGAGATTAAACAGGGTGTGTGGAGTTAGAAAACTTACAAATTAGGAAATATAATTTAGAAATTATAGTTTCAATGGATTATGGCACAATTATGATCCCTGACTAAAGGTACTTAAAGGTACACTTGAGGGTACCACCACAGAGACAAGAGGCTATTGACCCAGGGACAGTTTCGTACTTTTTTTCTGAGAGTGTACCTAAAGCAAAATAGTACCTAAAAAGAAAAAGTATTTATTCAGATTCACATAAGACATGTAGGTTCACTGGTTGTTTTGGAGAGTAAATAAAATGGCTATATTTGTGTTGCAGACATCACAGCCCGCTGGTTCCTATCACCACCTTTGTAAGGAAATTTGAGTCAGTAAGTGTCTCTATAGTGCATCATTCCACATCAAACCACTCTAAATGACTTTGTTTCTCAGTAATGGAATTATGCAGAGGTTTTCGAAAACTGGTGGAATTCCACCTCAATAACTCATAGCAGTTACTGAATAATAATCCTAGAGTTAAAGGGCAAGGTTGGTGAATGTATGAGGATGAAATATATGAGGATAATTTCTAAACCAAATATTACTATATTTACATGCTCACCAACAGTTGGATATCACCTTCTGGTACAAAACATACTAAAGAATATGATCAACTGCTTGCCTGTACTAAATGCCCAGACATTCTTAGCAGCCTTCTTGGATCCTGAGTTTTACCTGACTTTTTCTTTTTAGAGATAACAATGTCATACAGTCTCAGAAACCTCATAAGCAAGTCTATTTGAGATTACTTAAAAAAGATTACTTATAAAAAAAGGACTAATAGGGCACTTGAGTCAGCCACCCACAGTGTTGAGATCATATTAGACAAGGTGTGAAGTGGTACAAGGTGTGGTGCTCTTTGTGTTGACAGTGTTTCGGGGGAAAGTTCGTCATCTTTCAGTCCTTTTATGATGAGGTAAATCTACACTGCTGTTTACTGAATGGATGTGTGCTGCCTGGAAAGGTTTGTGTTGGGTTGTATCTTGTACCCCTATTGACACAGAACAGTAACTACAAAATAAGGACTACAATCCTTGATAATGACTGACATTGGTTTCCACTAAATAGATTAACTACACTCAGTTCCACAAAAAGTTATGTTATTACATCATTGCAGAATTACAGACTACAGGTACTGAAAATGTAATTCAAGTAATCAGAGGGGATTCTAAAAATGTGAAGGGTCCACGCTGCTGTCTAAAGAGGCTTTTTTTTAGTTTTCAGTACATTAAAGCTGATTTAATGCAGTGTTTTCTAATTTATGTGATACTTAACTCACTGTACAAATCTGCATTTTAGAGTGAAAGTGGTTTGCCATCATGCCTTTTTTCTGCTTAACCTTTAATTTAACCAAGCACGTCATTAAGACAAAAATTAGAAATTAAGATAAATGACTCCTGTCTTTTGCAACAGCACGCTGAAATGTAGAGGAGCCAAAAGACATGGGACTTTATGTTGGAAAGAGGAACAATTTCTGTTTAAAAAAAAAGCTAGGCCTTAACCTTTGACTGTAGTTTGGTTGTACAGTTAGAGAAGGATAATGAACTATCTAGCCAAATGCCCAGATATTTATATGTTGTAATCTGTTCCAGGATGGCTCCCTCATTCCTAGTGAATTTAAAACTGGGGCAGTCAATACATCCTTTCGACTGAACCGCATGGTCTTGATTGTGTTTAATGACAATATAAGGTTGGTGAAGGAATTTTGTACCTGGAGGAAGCTATCCTAGGGCACTGACAATACAAATTCAGGGGACAAGCAAGTTGCATACAGGATTGTGTCATCAGAATATAAGAGAATGAAAGCCAGCAACAAGGAGAATATTATTCATATATATAGAGGAAACAGTGTAGGACCTAATATTGACCCTTGCGGGAAACATTTTGTAACCAGATGGGGGAGAGAAAGAAGCTAAAGAATGATTTGTGAACGCTATTATGTTCTAAAACATAAGAAAAAAATTCAAACTCAGAAGACATGCGTGGGTTCACTGATTATTTTGGATAGTGTATACAGTGGCTATAA